CGGGGACAGGGGCCAGGGCGGTGTGAGGAGAACCGGGACAGGGAACGAGGCGGTGTGAGGGGAACCGGGATAGGGAAATAGGCCGGTGTGAGGCGATCCGGGACGGGGGAATGGGACAGGGAGACGGGATAGGGATCGGGGCGGTGTGAGGAGAACCGGGGCAGGAAACGGGTCGGTGTGAGGGGACTCCGCGACAGGGAAACGGGACAGAGAAGCGGAACGGTGTGAGGGACGAGACCGGGACGGGAACCGGGGCGGTGTGAGGGGCTGCTGGGAGGGGGAACCCGAGACAGCCGGTCATCGGGCAGGAGCCTTCCTGCGGCAGGGCCTCTCACGAACGCCAAGTTCAAAACCTGGAGTTATCACACGAAGAACAATTAAGGGAGGCTGCTTACACTAAATTTCAGAGGTAAGACGCGCAGAGAAGAACCAGTGCCCGCGTCTGAGGCTGGATCCTACGGCTGGCATGAGGAACTGCACTGTGCCGGGTGCGTTGCTTTCCCGTGAGGCAGATTTTGGAAAGGCATGTATTTAGGGAGTGATTAAGATACAAAATCTTAATGAATTCAGCTGTCACGAGGAACTGGTAAATTTGAACAGTTCTCATGCAGCATAGTACATTGCCCTAAACTTGCCCCTTTTCAACATGAACCACCACAAAATACTTCAGAATCCCACAGCTGGAAAAACGATGGGTTTTACATCTGTTTCTGTTTGTGCAGAAATAGTACCATCGTGTGAAAGATTCCAAGTGGTCCTATATCCCCCTCCCATTCCACCAGCTCAGACTCACATTGCCATGATAAAGCAGGCCAGCATTTCCCATCTCCTGAGCACGGTGGTGGATATTCAAAAGGCACACAACAGTTAGACCAACAGTGATAAAATCCACCAGGGGGTTCTTAACTGTCATTAATGATGGACCCAGGGAGCATAGGCCATAAAGCATGAATTAACTTCAACTTATGAAATACTTAACAACTTTTCTATGCTAATTGCTAATTCTGTTGCACCAACTTCTATTGCAGTTAGAAAACTTAAGTTTCGTGGCTTAATTCTGTGTGTTAATTTCAAATACTATTTTACTGTAAAAGGGTGAAGACAGGTACTGCTGTTAAATTACACACTTCAATGGCTGCTAAACCAGTACAATTCCAACTCGTGAGAAGTCAGGTAAGTAACCATCAGGTGCCATCCAAAAGTGTCCCTTAAGCACTGAAGATGCCTGCTTCTCCAGTCTGTACCCTTCCCGGCCTTGACTGATGGTCAGTGTTCCAGAATCCAAAGCAAGTAATTTGCCAGAGTGGCTGATCCAGGGACCGACTGTGTGGTTTCTCTTATTTGGGAAAAGCAGGACTGATGCAGACGCTCACCTGTACAGGTTCTCAACCCTCCCCTTCAATATCGTACCTAAGGCCACCCCTTCCATAGACAGCAGCCGTGTTCTTTGGAGAATTTTATTAAAATATATCCAAGAAGTAATCAAACATTTTCTTATGAGTCAGGAGAGAACTGAAGTGAGAAAAACATCTGTACAGAGGACAGTGCTGTAAGTTTTTCTTTACATGCTTTATTTCAATGTTTCACAGTTTAGTCATTGTCTACAAAAATATATTTCTGAAACTCTGAGTCCTCTATAAAAAAAGCTGGTCAGCAGCAGTGACCCTGACAAACAGAATGTACCTTGGGACAGTGTGAGCACCTCCTGTAAGCAGATTAGTGCAGCTAGGGCACTCCTGCCTCACCCTGGGAGACTTCTGTTCTTTGGGATTAAAGCTCTGCACTAGTTCTGAAGGAAGGCATTAAAAAAAAAAATCATTCCACTTCTGTATACTGCACTAAGCTTGGGAGGGGGAGCTGCAAGTCAGTGTATCACACAGCAGAAAGTGCTAACAAAGCACTTGGCACTCAGGGAAAGGAGAAGACCTCAGGGTGCTTTAGTACTGGTAAATTTTTCTTTGAGCTCTCTGTTCAGAACAGCCTTTGTCTGGTGATAATAGGTTCAGGCTGTCAGCAGAGGTACAAATGGCAAACAGGCAGAGTAATCCTATAAGCGCAAAGAGAGTCCTTTTTTGAGGACAGGATAAGAGTTCTGTTCAGTTTTACATCAACATTTTCTGCTGTGGCTTTAATCAAGGGGAAAATTGCCTTCAAAACCAATCACAAGTTGTTGGACAGAACAGAGCCACTATCAGTGCTGTCAGCTTCAACTCCTTAGTACCCATAACTGGAAATATTCCTTATAACATCAATTATTTAATTCCTACGCTTACTAGTCACCAGTGTATCTAGCCACCACAAATAAGAACTGAGAAACTCAAGTGTCCCCCAAGTGAGATCTTTCTACTCTTCCTCTGCTCAGTTATTTGACTGGTCTACAGAGATACCTGCAGTTAAGAAAAAAAAAAATAAATTGCCTCTTTTAAAAAAATAAATCTATCTTGCATTGTGCTCTAGAAAAGACAAGGTCAATGTACTCTGATCCTCAGAGCTCATCATTAGAAGCCCCTTACCACAAAATAAATTTCAGACCTGAACCCCTAAGCAGGGCAGGAATTTTCAGCAGCAAGTAAGAGTAGTTATTGACAGACTGCTTCCCTAATGTGGTAATAGACAGAAGATGAGCTCTCTGAAAACTTTTCCACACCTGCCTGTCAGAAGGTTTTCTGAGCCAGCAGCTTGTGAAATCTAGATTTCCTTGAGATTAGAGAATTCAGGAAAGTGCTGCTGGTTATTTTAGGTACATCTGCAATCAATGGGCTTCTGAGCTCTAGGCTTTTGTTCAGAAAAAGTTCTCCTGTAACTTGTGCCTACCACCAGTCCCAGTCTGATCTGCTAAACCTGAGCAGCCAAGGAGGTATATGAATTTTAAGTAGAATCAGCATCATCCACGAAAACACAGAAGCCATGAACCTTCACTGAGACAAATACCTTATCAAAAAAAGACACTCAGCACTAGAAAACTAATATCATCTCACTAATGCTAAACAGTTAAAGTGTAAAATCTGTAAGAAAACACCTGAAGTTTACTTTTTGACTATTTTCCTTTCTTGAATTGCTGGGGGGAGTGAGGGGGGTGGAGGAGAAAGGAAAGAATCACTTCACTGTATTAGTAGTAAGCCAGTATATAGAAGGCAGTGTTGGAGAAAAATTTAAAACCAGGAAAAAAATCTGAAAACTTACTGATTCCGAAAGCTTTCCTCACCTTCCCAAACTCAACAGCCTAAACAGGATTTTCATCCTCATACTTCAAGTTGTTTTTCCAGTCTGTTCCCATCTGTTCAGCTTCCAGTCACAGACACACAACAGAGAGAAGAATCAAGGGAGGCTGAGAAACCCACACATAGGGTTTTGCCTCCCATGTAGCACCTACTTTATATATCAACATGAACAAATCAATCAGAAATTGTTACGTCTTGTGCACAGAAAGCCTGTAACTAAAGTGTAACATGATGAAATTTAAAGCCTGTAACTAAAGTGTAACATGATGAAATTAAAAGAAGATTTGGAATTAAAGAAAAATTTTGTCCCGTGGAACCTCTTTTTCTGAAGATTCCACACCCCACAAAGAAGCAGTTCATATTCAGTCATTTGTGAACTGGAAAAGACTTGTCAGCAACAATCCTGCCTTGGCTTCAGGTGAAAAGCTGAGAGTGTTCATTCTCCTTTAGTATCACAAAGCTTATTTCCATAAAACAAACCGCTGTCTGGCCATGCCCTGCCCTGCCATAGAGATGCAGGATACCAGAGAATCATGGAATACGCTGAGTTGGAGGGCACCCATCAGAATCAGAGTCCAACTCCTGGCTGTGTGCAGGAGACCCCAAGAATCCCACCAAGTGCCTGACAGCGTTGGCCGAACGCTTCTTGAACTCAGACAGGCTTGGTGCTGCCCCTGCTTCCCTGGGGAGCCTTTTCCAGTGCTCAGTCACCCTCTGGGTGAAAAACCTTTTCCTGACTGTCAAAAGCCTTCTCCATCAGCACAGACAAGTGGGATGTCACCTCTAGCTGATGCAGTTATGCAAAAAGAAAAAAAAAAAACCTGTAGCATAAAGTTTAGAATCCCAGCATGATGGATACCTTGTGGATAAACACTGCCACAGACTGTGAGGTACTTGTGTGTGAGGAACCAGCAACTGCAGCTGCACATTATTGCTACTTGCTGTCTCTCAGGGCAAGCTTTTCCCATTTCTGCATTCTCCTGCCTTCTCCAAGTTACACACTCCAGGGTGAACTATTCTGAAGCCTCACCAACACGGTGGCCACCAGAACACATTTGATGACATTTTAATCCCTTCCAAATTATTTACAAGGCTGGCTTTGAGACTGTTACTTTTAACTTCAGGCCTGGAACTGCATAGAGAAAATTTTGTATGGTCAAGAACTAGCAGTACTTGCACTACGTCTCTTCTCACAGGAAGCATTAATTAAAACAAGCAAAGTAACACACAGAGCTTAGCCTAGGCTGCATTCTATCAAGGGCATAATGAAGACAGTAGTCACAACTTCTCCAATTCACTAGTATTTTTTCTAATATTCCAATGGCTACACTTAAGAGAGGTTCAGCCAAATTAAGTTAAAGCTACAAGTCACAACTGAAAAGTGTGCACTGAAGTCTGGTGTCAGGAACACTGAGGACCACCCCTGATCAGGCGGCTTCACTTCTATTTTCGAGTGCACAAGGACAGCTCCCTGTCACAGACAACTGAAGCAGATATATGGGAAAACTCATTCATTAAGCCAAGGGGAGGCAAGGTCACTGCTGCCATGCCCCAGAGAAGGAGAAAGATTCATTGAGAGATTATAACTAAAGGGTTACAAAAAGGCAAGAACTAAAGTTTGTCGGTAATGAAATGCATTCTCCCGTCCCATATGAACAGGAAACAGTCTCTGTAGGGTGTTAAAGAAGGTCCTAGGAGGAGATAACCTCCTACTTTTTTCTGCTGCCAAAGGAGAGGAGAGAAAGACGCTGCTATTGGTCAGCAGGAATCTCTCTGTCTGCATCCAGTTTGCTCGTCTCTCCTGGGGAAGGGGTACGTGGTGCAGAGTGAGAAACAGGAGGAATCCCATGAGCTACAATCCCTTCCACTACTGGTGGTTCTGGTAGCCCAGGGGTGGCTACTCCCACTACTCCTGGAGGAAACCTAAAACCAATAGAAACATAGAAGTTACAAGCTTGTCCAACAGTTACTCAAGGAGAAAGGAGCCGTGCCCTCAGACAACTGCTGAATACAAATCCCTCTTTCTAAAAAATTCTCCGAGATAGAACACAGGAAAAGTCTCCAGAGCTGAAGAGTAGCAGTGATATCCTAATGCCAAATGACACCTGTTCACAGAGATAGTCTCAGGTCACATACTAAGCATTTGGATAAAGGTACAAAGTTTATCTCCAGTGGAAAACAGCGTGAGGCACTGTATGAAGGCACCTGGAGGGCTGGGAATTCCCTCCCCATCAGCAGGAGGAACGTAAGCTGCAGTTATCCTTCACTGGGCTCCATGACAGAAAAAGTAAGGAGCTGAACTAAAAAAACAGCTAGATGCAAGATGAAAAACAGGAGAGCAACACTCATGAATTTCTAATGAACTATTTTTCCATTACTTCCATTCTGCCTCCCTGTGCCGCCTTCATAAATATATCTGAACCTCTGTAGATCTCATAGAAGGGAAGGATATATTACCTACTTTGCAGATGGGAGAAAAACAGAAGGGAAGCAGCCTGCCCACAATCACTTGGCAGGTCTGTAACAGATAAACAAACTGAAATACACTATATTTAGACCACTGAACAAAATCCACTGGACAATATCTCAATAATAGTCCACATTTGGGCTACAGGCAAGAACTGTCCTTTGTTTATACAGCCCTAATGATATGCACAACTTCTAAATGTTAAGTTCCATGCCTTTCTGGGGGGCATCCAGCAGACTTTCTTATATTAAGATATCTCTTGGGCAGGTCTTGCAAGGATTTGCAAAAATTGACTAGTATGCAGCTGGACCTAAATATGACCAAGTCCGTGTTAAATCCTAGTACAGGTTTAGAAGAGCTGCTGTTAAGAGCTCATATACAGAGTATGTAGGAACACAGACATACCTGCTTGCAGGTACAAGTACTTCTCAAACCCGCAGAGGGATGCTGGCCTACTTCAGCAGGAAGATATGCCTGGCCAACCTACATAGCTCACCTGTAAGCTGCAGCTCCATTGAGTTCTGGGTGGACAGTTGCAGGATCAATACTGGACCACTGAGCTGCTAACAGCAAGTACTCCTTATTAACACAGTTCCTCAAAGCATCGGGTATGTGACCTGCAAGAGCACCAAGAATGACAAAAAAAAAAACCAGGACACAGGTAGGGGGGAGCTTGTTCCCTGCAGCATTTACAAAGGAGAGCAGAAAGGAAATGTGCAACATCTTTTTCATCTACCTCCACAGGATAACAGTGGGCAGGGG